ATCAAAGACCCAGTGCAGTCAAAAATAAATTTAAAAAAAAAATCTTTTTTTATAAAAGAAAAGAATAGCATAAAAAGAAAAAAAAACCATTAAAAGAGGATTTCTGTTCAATCAGCTCTAGACTATGTGGCAAGAGTTTCCCAACAGACTTGCTTTTTCCCCATGAAGTATGTCCAGGCAATCTCCACTAAACAGTGTGTACATAAGAAAAACCAATTTTACAGTAATCCAATCTGAGGCAAATACGTATACAACTAAACAAATATTTATTCAGCTCTAACTCTATACATGATATGCTTTACATCAGAAATATAAATGACTAGAAGGTTATCTACCATTCCAGATTTTGTATTATCTCTTTCTCTGAATTAGTAATTTTGGACTCTACAATGAAAATCAGGGAGTGATTATTACATGACAGATTTCTAAGGGAACAGACGCACTAGAGACAGACTGAACTATATTCAACTAACACCAGAAGCTCAGTGGAATCTAACATAAGAATCAACGGAGAGAACTGATATAGTACAGGTTCACCAGTCATTTATGAAAGAAATCTTCCTCTTTATTTCTAAAAAGCACTGTGCTGGGGTTTGAGAAGTCCCTTTTAATGACTCTGCACTTTTCCCCCCTCCAAAAAACTGAACACACAGGTCAGGAAAAGGAGATCAAATAGCACCTTTATTGATTAAAAGCTATTGGGTGAATTGAGATTATGTATGAGAGCCAAAGAGGCTTGCTAGCCATTTTTGCCCTTCCATCTCTATCCTAGGCGTTGAGACAGTACAGTCAAGAGAAAGTCTGGCCCAGATAATAACTTTCTTACTAGTCTAGGGCAGAGAAGAGAATGAGCCTCCTTACTTACAGCTTTGTAATTAGTTAGCTACCCCTAATCAAAGGGCTTCCCTAGTGGTTCAGACCATAAAGAATCTGCCTGCAATGTAGGAGACCTGGGCTCCATCTCTGGGACAGGAAGATCCCCAGGAGAAAAGAATGGCTAGCCACTACAGTATTCTTGCCTGGAGAATTCCACGAACAGAGGACCCTGGTGGGTACAGTCCACTGGGGTCACAACTGAGTGACTGACACACCCCAATCAGAGGAAAGGTCATCACCCTCCAACAAGGTAACTCACTCATTGATGGAAAGATGTAAGAGATGGGTCAGGAGACCAGCAGTGTTTAAGGAAGATGCTCCCCTTGGAGATATATATAGGATAAGTGCAATGTAACTGTCCCTCCCTAATACAGGCTGTTACTTTGTGCATTTACACATCAGTGCATCTGAAATACAAACTGGAAGAGCTTAAAAGATTAATTCTGATTAAAAACCTAAAGTCCAACATTCTGTAAGCATGTGTCACTTAATAGTTTTCTTCTTTTAATCAGGTTTCCATGTTCATCTCAATGTAAGGATGCAGTTACTTAAAAATTTATAAGAGAAAGAGACACATTTTCTAGTTCTATGAATAGAAATGTGTAATGATTGGGACCAAGTACTCTGATTTCATCAGAAAGTAAACACTGCAAAATTTAAGATAACTTAGCTCGTTAAAATTTCAAAGATTTTTTTTAATGATTATGGAGTACTTATTGTTGGCTAGAACCCTGTACAAAGTATAAAGAAAGTCAAGGTCCCAAAGACAATGAAAAAAAAATGCAGAATTGCTATTGACCCCACAAGAAATACAGGTGTCCAAGGAGCAGAAGCTGTTAGAGGAGATATAAATATTGCTTGGGGATCTAGAATTTTAGTTACTAATGAAAATATAAACATTTTTCCCCCCTACATTCCTCTTATCTTCTACCCTGTATCCTCTAAAACGATACAATATCCAAATACGAAAGCCTTGTGGACAATTAAAGTCATTCTAAAATACAGTGAGCCTCTGGCCTGTCACCTGTAAACATCCCTCCACCAAAAACTTCTGGAATCCCTTTAAAATCTTTTAGAACCAATTTGAAACCTAGGAATACATCGAAAGGAATTCCTTCGCTTTATGAGAGCAATAAAAGGTCATATATTAATAAATATAACCCATTAAATAAAAACTGTCAAGCAATTACTTATTCAGTGAATTACTGTTTAGTTTTAGCTACCATGTTTATATTTTTCTTTCAGTAAATATTTAAGAGTCTGCTATGAAGTAAATAAAGAAAATACCATTTGTCCTAAAAATGAGGCAACTAACTTCACAAGGTCATAAGTGAGTAAATGGTTTGGTTCAAGTTCTTAAAAGGCACTGATTATTCCAATTATAGATTTTAGGGAGTGACAGAGCAAGTTTACTTCAGACCTGGTGGAAAAGAGGATAAAATGGACACCACATTCAGTCTCTAATCATCCCTGGTGCTTAGTTCAGGGAATGGAGATCGCAAAAAGATTTTTCTATCAATTGTCTCCAATTCTGCCCTGTTCCTTCTCTCCTTACCCAATCAACTAATCTACTGATCTCATCACACCACTGAAACAGTTTTAGCAGCGGTAACTAATGACCTCCACGCTGTTCAATTCAACATCCACAGCTCATCTTATTTGAACTACCATCAGCATTTAACCCAGCTGATCGCTTTCTTCTCTTTAAAATACTTTCCACACCTGAAAGAGAAAAAGAAAAATCTCATCTACTACTGTCCTCACCATACACCCTGCTCCAGCCACACTGGCTGATGTGTCATTCCTCAAATACTAAGCAAGTTCCAAGAGCTCTGCATTTAACTGGTTGCCTTCCTTGAATGCATTTATTCACATGGCTCACTCCCTTTACTTCCTTCTGAGGCCTTTTCTGAGCATCTGACATTTATATTTACTTGTTTGGTTGTTTATTATGTTTCCCCCTACCAAAATGTGAGTTTCATTTGAGTTCAGGGGTTTTATTTTATATACTGGCCAATTCCCAGTACTTAAAATTTAGTAGACATGAACTAAATCTCTGTTGAATGAATGACAAGCAAATTGATTAAATGCGTAGAGCCTGGTCACCACATCTGAGTAACCTACCTACTTAGCTCTGGTTCTTCATGTCTGGCTAGTCAAAAGAGACTGGCTGTCTCTGGCATGAAAATTATACATTATGGACCTAAGACAGGCTGCATCTGTCTCTACCAAATTTTTGGTCTCCTAAAAGTCTTCTGAGAAAATTAAGAGTCAATGTAAAGAACGTGTTCCAATCAGGTTCTTTGCTTAGGTAAAATAAAGTTTCTTCTGCATTCTTTCCAATTTCAAAACAACTGCGTAGAGAAACACAGATGATGAAAACAATTTTCCGGATCCTTCTATTCAACTTCTACCTCCACACGGAATCTTCTCAATTACCTATGCTTCTTTATTTTCCCATTTTTGCCCATATAGTTAAATGCTCTGGTTGTCCACATTACCTAATTAACTCTGCAACTTTAACTGCATGAATTTATAAATGAAAATTCTATGAGACTTCACATGCAAGCTAGATCACAGAATCACAGAATCTAAAATTTAAACCACTGCTACTAAGTTTCTGTGTCCTCTTAAAGCAGCTCTTAAAAGGTTTCCTTGAGTAACTGGAAAATATCTTTCAAAATCTTTGGATAGATTATGTGTAGGACTCTAGCTACAGAATTTAATCAATTTTTGTAAATTCTAATAAAAAATATTCTCAGTATTAAAGGCATTCTTAAGAGCCTTCAGAATTTATATCACTAATGATTCTTACACATAATGCATCACTATTTACTTTGAAATGAGGTATACTTTGTCTCTACTAGCAGTAAGTGGCACCAGGTGAAGATAATGAATACAGACAACACGAAATTGCATGTAAAAATTTTAAGTGTGAAATGTTTAAACTACTTCATAACTCTTACAAAAATTGAAATGCGTTAAAGTCATGGTGCCGTGGCAACAGCATTTTTATATTCACTTACATTTAATTGAAAAGTAAATTTCCATTTTGTGTTAAGCTGAACAGTTCACACACATTTATGATAACCTGTTGGGGCGAAATGTCCATTTCACCTCTGGTAACGCCAAGTGCCCTGAATAACAGTTGTGGGTAAACATTAATACCTTTTTGCCCCCTAACTATTCAAAGCATTTTTATGAAGGGCTCAATCAGAAGGTCTGAAATTCTTTCACCGCAGAATCGTTAAACCAGTGAAATGGCATCTTCTCAGTAGGGGTCATTCAGCACTCCCAGAGTGAAAGCAATCAGGAAAAAAAAGGCCAAGTCAAAGTCTAGAGCTGAAGAAGGAAAGAAAACGAAACGAAAAGAAGAAAACGATCCTGTGCTACTGGCTGAGCTCCCCTTCCTGGAGCTCCCCAAGTGCCTCTACTGCCCCAGCACTTGATGGCTCCTTCTCAGACTTCCCGAACAACAGAGTAGAGGCTTCAAGTTCCTGCAGATTTCTAAACGGGGCTACGAATGCCTAATCCAGCAGGCTACACACATTACAAAGTACAGTGCGAGAGAAACTTCTGCAACCCAGACGCCAACCAAAAGGCATTCCTACCTTTCCGGAAAGACAGGAAAGGAGGCTCTTAAAAGGATAAGTGGTAACTGGGAAGGTGAAAATTTAGAGGGAGACACGACCACCTTCCCCACAATCAGAGGGGCAGGAAGAGAAAGGGTTTAGGAGTAAAAGATCTACCCCCACCACTCCTCCTTGCTCCAGCACAGCAGGGTGCAAGGATCTCCCCCAGAATGGCAGAGGGAAGAGAAGGGATCCCCACCCCAGGCTGGTGGCACCGTCCAGCCTGTCACAGAGACCGGAACTTGAGAAGGGGAGCCGGGCGGTGAGGGACTGGGGAAGGCGGGCCATTCCCTCTGAGGCAGGTTAGGAGAAGACCGTGGTCAATCGGACAGAGAACGGCAGCCGAGCCCAGGACGAACAAGTCTTGCCCCGCAAGCCCAGCTCCCGCGGAGAAAACCCAGTCAGAGCCCGCCCCACCCCCTCCTTTCCGCCCCAACCCACACGTTCTGCCCAGGAGATGCAGCCTTCGAGCGAGCGGGCGGCCCCGCTTACCTGCTGCACCCCGAGGAACTGGTAGAAGTTGAGCTGCACCTCCTCCACCAAGTCAAATAACTCCAGGTCTCCGCTCTCCCAGCCGCGCGCCGGCCCCGCGGCCGCCAGCAGCAGCAGCAACAGCAGCGGCGGCGGGAACGGCACGAGTCCCGGCCGGCGGCTCGGAAGAAGCCGGGCCAGCCGGGAGCAGGGCGCTGTCATCGCGCCGGGCTCGGAGAGGTCAGCCGCCGCGCAGAGCCGTCGGCCGAGACCCGGGGACGTGGCGGGCAGCGCGGACTGTGGAAACACTGCTTGTCAGTCAGAAGCACGGGCAGCCGCCCGGGAGTCTCCCGCCCAGCGGCCGGTCCTGGCCAGAAGGCAGGGGCGGCGGAAGACGGCGGGCGCTTCGTCCAGTGAGGGCGCGGACAGAGCCGCGGGCGGCCCTAGCCTCCGCGGACCCTCACCCTTTACCCAGGCCTACAAACAGCTGGCGAGCCAGCGCCGGGCGCTTAGGTAGCGCGGCGAGGGGGTAGAGGCTTCCCCTCGCCTCAGCCTATCCCAGGCTTTGCTTCCGGTGACATCACGTCTCCTAGCAACCGCAGAGAGGAGGCGGGGCCGGAAGTAGGGTGCCGGCGCCCCAGACCTGGGCCTCAGCAAACTGCCTCTCAGTCGCTGGCGTGCTCCGCGGAGCCACACGAATGTTGGCACAGATTAAGAGACGTGGACAGTTACAGACATCGCGCATCTATCTGGAACGTCCTAAGTATCTGTGAAACAGCTACCTCCTAGTCCTCCCCCAGATATTGAAAACTAAAAGCATATTTGAAAACTGAGTTATTGATTACAGCCTCTGTTTCATACATTTCATTATTCCATCCCCAAAAATACAGGAGGAATTGAACCCAGGGCTTGAAAGGGGCAAATCTAGTGAGCAGTCTAATGTTTCCTTTTAAGAGAGGTGAAGAAGAAATAAAATTTGAACCAAGACAAAAAGTGTGCTTCCAATAATGCAATAATATTTACAGGCATAATACCATAAAATAGGCAACCAGGTAGAAAGTAATAAGCATGACAGACATTCAGAATCGTAGGGGTAAGTGCAGCTTATCGCCCTTAGCCCATTTACAATTGGTGCTCCTTTCCCAATTGACGTCTATTTTTAAAGACATTTAATCTAAAAACGCGTTCTCTCTTTCCCACGAGTGTCTCACTTCCTATTCTTTTTTCCCCTCACCACTATTGCTTTCTTTTTTGTGAAGCTTATTTTCTTCTTAGCTTTCTCATATTTCTCCTCCCTGACTCCCTACTCTTGCTGAGGAAGTAGAAGAGAACAAATAAATGCTTGTATAACTCAGGATGCTTCAGCAGTTTTGAGAGTTTGATCTCCTTTTTCTCATTTTGAATCTCAACAGTTGAATTAAGCTCAATAGGATTATAATAATACTCTCATAGTAAAAAGTGTTGTGTTTGACAAAGGTTAGTAGAACAGTATCCAGTAGGTAAATTTTACTTAAATCCTTCCATTACTGTAGAGTTTAAAAAATATTTTTAAATAGTTATGAATGCTTAAAAATAATACAATATAATGCTTGAATTAATCCTATTTTAAGTTCACTGTGAGGCTTTACTTTCAAAGATACAAGAACAGGGGTATCTTAGTCTTCAAGGGCTGCTGTAACAGTATACCACAAACTGGGTGTCAGCATGGTCAAGTTCTGATGAGAACCCTCTTCCAAGTTTCAGAGGGCTTCTTTCTTGTTGTACCTTCTCATGGCGGCAGTATGGGGAAGGGGGACAGAGATCTAGTGTTTCCTCTTACGCAGAAAGCGAAGAACTAAAGAGCCTCTTCATGAAAGTGAAAAGAGAGTGAAAAAGTTGGCTTAAATCTCAACATTCAAAAAATGAAGATCATGGCATGCAGTCCCATCACTTCATGGCAAATAGATGGGGAAACAATGGAAACAATGAGAAACTTTATTTTCTTGGGCTCCAAAATCACTGCAGATGCTGACTGCAGCCATGAAATTAAAAGTCGCTTGCTCCTTGAAAGAAAAGCTATGACCAACCTAGACAGCATATTAAAAAGCAGAAACGTTACTTTGCCAACAAAGGTCTGTCTAGTCAAAGCTATGGTTTTTCCAATAGTCATGTATGGATGTGAGAGTTGGACTCTAAAGAAAGCTGAGCACTGAAGAACTGATACTTTTGAACTGTGGTGTTGGAGAAGACTCTTGAGAATCCCTTGGACTGCAAGGAGATACAACTAGTCCATCCTAAAGGAAATCAGTCCTGAATATTCATTGGAAGAACTGATGCTGAAGCTGAAACTCCAATACTTTGGCCACCTGATGCAAAGAACCGACTCATCAGAGAAGACCCTGATTCTGGGAAAGACTGAAGGCAGAAGGAGAAGGGGACGACAGAGGATGAAATGGTCGGATGGCATCACCGACTTGATGGACATGAGTTTGAGCAAGCTTCGGGAGTTGGTGATGGTCAGGGAGGCCTGCTGTGCTGCAGTCCATGGGGTCACAAAGGTCGGACATGACTGAGCGGCTGAACTAAACTGATCCTCACAACTTGGGCTCCACAATCATGACCTCATCTAAACCTAATTACCTCCCAAAGATTGCACCTCCAAATACCATCACATAGGGAATTAGGATATCAACATAGGAATTTGGGTAGGACACAAACATTCAGTCCATAGCAAGGGATATCACCTTTTCTGTTTATCCCCAGTGCTGAGGACAATACATAACACATGTTGGCATTCAATTAGTTGAATTGAATCCTGTGAATACCTCCCCACCTTCATTTCTCCCCTTACAGTTTTTTAGTTTGATTTTTGATAGATCAGTTTTCTTAAGGTGAAAGGCAACTTTACTAAGTCTCTAAGTTATCCTACTGTTTATTCAATGAGTAAAATGAAAACATAAAATGAGAGCAATAATCTTAGCACTACTTTTACATAATATCCCAACATTCATCTTTTCTCCTAATTTGACCATTAAATTAAGTGCAATATAACATTTGAAACTGGTGCCATATTGCCATTGATATTTTAGCAATCTGATATTTCCCTCCTGAGCTCTATTCTTATGTTGTCCAAGAACCCCGAGGACTTCCTCCATCTAAAGGGAATGGTTCTCTTTCCAAGGCCAAGCTGAAGTAGAACTGGAGTCTGTTCAGTACAACACTATTACTGTTTCTCACTGCTATGAGGTTTTGCTCTGGCAGCTTCTTCCTACTCAGCTCCGATAGCACTGGTCCACTCTGAAATGATGCCCTTGCTTGTTCTGGTCTAGGTCTCTGCAAAGACCACAGTGATATTTACATTTAGACTTCTAGTTTGGCATATTCACATGTTCTATCTTGTCCTCTAGAGCAGCAATTCCCAAACTTTTTGGCACCAGGGACCAGTTTTGTGGAAGACAATTTTTCCACTGACAGGGTCTGGGCGGGGGCGGGGGTGTGTGTGCGGTAGCGATGGTTTCAGTTTCACCCACGCACCTCCTGTTGTGTGGCCTTGTTCCCGTGGCTTGGGAACCCCTGCCCTAAAGGACAATGCAGTTGAATGAATCATTTGCTGATGCCAGAACTAAGCAAGCTCCCAATGGACAGCTGCTTTCTTATCTGGTGACATTTAATGATCCTGGGCATTGACTGATGAAGCTTAATCTGTAGAGGCAGCGTACACAGGAAGAGAGAAGCCAGTGAAATGTTTAACGGTCATGTGAGTTGTGTAATGGATTGGAGACGTAGAGAGGAGCCCCAAACTTCCAGCCAGCTTTCCCACAGAACATTTGCTGAGTCCTGGGGTAGTGCAGAAGCCCAAAGGACTGAAGGGTAGGAGGAGTGAAATTTCCCCACATTCTACCAGTGCATGCAAAATGAACTCTGCCTAAAAAGAAGAGCCTGCTTCAGATATACAAGTAGTCTTCCCCCTCAAGACATCTGCAATATTTCTGAAGTTGTATGCATGAGTAGGAGGATAAAGATCTAAGTTTAAAACCTCTGAAAAGCAGAACTAAAACTGCTGGCCTGAGGAGATAGAAACCTTGCAGGCTCTCTTATCAAAATCCCAGAGGAATCACACCTAAGAAACAGAGAAAGCAGAAGTTGAGTGAATCTTACCAAACTCTAACCCCAATCCCAACCCAGTTCAATCCCTGACCCTCACCCCATTTGTCTGTTTTCATCTGTAGGGGAAAATATCATCATCTCTATTGCCTATTTTTTTAATATAAAAGTCTGGTATATGACAAAGAATTATGAGATGTGAGACAAACAAGGAAGTTTGACCAATATGAAGAGAAAAAAGTAGATAATGGAAGACCTACAGTAAGCCAGCTACTGGAGTCCAGATAAGGACTTTAAAATTTCTATTATAAAAGAAAAAGTGTATAGAATGGATTAGAAGACGCAGAATTTTAACAGATAAACTGAATTCATAAAAAGGAAACAATGGAAAATCTCAAATTTAAAATTATATTATCTGAAATAAAAAAACTTGGTGGGTTTAACAGCAGAACAGAGGATTAATGAATTTGAGGACAGGTCAAAAAAACCCAAAAATACCCAAACTGAGGCACAGAGAGAAAAAAGGACAGAAAAAGAACAGAGCTTCAAATGCAGGTGGGACATAGTGAGTAAATCAAAACACATATAACTAGGCTACTAGAAAAAGAGGAGAGAGAATGGAACAGAAGAAATAATTATAGAAACAACAGATAAGAATTTTGCAAAACCAATGAAAGACATGAAGCCAAACATGAAAAAATTAACTCAAAATAGATCATAGGCCCAAAGATAAAAGTTAAAATTATAAAACTCTTTTTGAAAAATAATGGTAAATCTTAGTGTCTTTGGGTTAGCCAGTGGTCCCTTAGATATGACAGCAAAAGCATGTGATGGAGGAAAACATAATTTGAACTACATAGAAATTTAAAACTTTTGTGTCACAAACAACACCATCAAGAAAATGAAAAGACATCCAAGATAATGGTAGAAATATTTGCAAATCATATACCTGATAAGGGACTTACATCTAGAAAATGCAAAGAATTCTTTCTACTCAATATTTTTTTAAATGGGCAATGGATTTCTCCAAAGAAGATATACAAAAAGCAAGTAAGTACAAAAAAGATGCCTAACATCATTAGCCATCAGGTAAATGCAAATCAAAACTTCAAAGAGATACAACTTTATAGCCATGATGA